ACAGTGGAGATCTCAACTTTCAACTTTCAAAAACTTAAATGCAGCATTAAGCCTGATATTTCATGTCAGTTCCACTCTGCCACTTCTGCATTGTTAAGTACCACTCTAACTGCTTCATTTATATTTTGTTCTTCTCAGATGTAGGTGTGTAACTGGGTCCCCCACTCTGTGGACAAGATCGTCATAGCAAAGAGGGCAAAATGAACAGGATCTTCATCACTCATATTCTGCTCGACAAATAAGGCCAACTGCTGCAGTCTGCTGACGTCTATTGTCTGCTTAGCACAGTATGCGTGGAACCATACATGAGGTGGTACCATAAACAAATCAGGACACAACAATGGAGACACTTTTAACTGGTGGTGTTGAACTGAACTGAAGAGTGTCGAAATTATGGAGAAGGTCTCATCTTCATGCGTGTGACCAAAACATCTCTACCATGAATCAGGCAAAGAAAGAACCTAACGAGCCTCTATTGTGTGTGTGTGTGTGTGTGTGTGTGTGTGGGGGGGGGGGGGGGGGGGTTTGTTTTAGTTAATTTAAGTACACAACCAGACCTCTCTTCTTTTTTTTTTTTTCTTCTTTCTTTCAGCTGCTTCCCTTCTCAGGGTTCGTCACAGCGAGTTAACTCGCACGACGACTGCAATTGTTTTTACGCCGGATGCCCTCTGACACAACCACTGAGCTATCACAGCCTTCTGTGTGGAGAAGAGGGCTGCCATCTAGGGTGACCAAGGGAGCAGATGGTGGGGGTTAAGGGCCTTGCCCAAGGACCCAGAGTGGGGCAAATGAGGATGGAGGCAGGTCTAGGTGCTTCACCTTTCCCACCCACATTTTTCAGGGGGTCGAACTGGTGACCTTCAGATCACAGGCTCACCTTCCCTAACTTCTGCGCTCATGCAATTCTATAAAGATTGGGAGTCAATACACTCCAGCCTTTTTAAATTGATTAAGCCTTCTGGATGGGAAGCAAAGCATCTTCAACTTCATAATACATGTTAAGTTTTACAGTTTTAAAACTTTTTATTTCCCCTTCCAGATTGCAACAGGAAGTGAGTGTGTGGCCAGATCACGTTCAAGCATGGAGAAAGGTCTTGTAACATCAGTCCCAGCTACATCCATTATGTCATGTCAAATATGTGAAGTGTGGTTCAGTGTTTTCATTTTTCTTTCTTACCTTTGTGCTTTCTACAACTTGTTATATTTTAAATGACAAGTATACATTTAATTATTTATTTCTGTATAAATTCAACATATTTTTATTTATATTATTCTTGACTGGGGTTCCACTTAAATTCAGCTGGTTAATGTTTGTAAGACAGTTTATATTTTAAATTGTTTTGTACATTACAGCAGTATTATCATAACATTTTACCAAGAGATCATTTTGAGGACTCAAAATATTCACACTATGATTATCAAAAGATCTTGAAAGTCAATCTCATCCATAAAACCTCTGAAATGGTAGTAATGTTAGTCTCTCTTCCTCTAAGCATGTTTCTCTAATCCCAAAACTACTATGCACCAAAGATGACTTCACAAACCTAGGTAAAGAACCAAATGTTAAGAAATAAAAAACAATGTGTAACAATATTATTGCTAGTGATTTATTTGCAGGTGGTGTTTCACCATGTTGATTTCTGGAAATTATTATTATTATTATTTTCCCAACCTGCACTTTCATGGAAGACAAAATGGTGATTGGGACAAAACACACATTCTGCAGTGCAGTAATATTAAGCTCTTGCTCAGCCTAGGCTTGCTGATGGATTTGTTACATGCAGGAGGTCAACCTTGAAACAAGTTAATTAGAGTTCTAAATATATACAGTCTGGCTCTAATTACATTCTGCACATGGATTCCACTAACAACTCAACTAACCTAATCCTAAATTTTATGACCCAATAACGATCAAAAGCAAAGGGGAAAAAATAAAAATAAAAACACCTAAAAAAAACAACACAACAACAAATATTGAGTTATAGTTTTGTCATCAAACAGATAAATAAATAAAATATAAATATCAGGAATTACATTGCAAACCTGCCCATAACATGCAGCCAAACAACAATCCACAGACGACACATCTGGTTCTTTTGGCAGACCTCACCTCTCACACATTACTTTGGCAGTGATAGAGCAACCACATCTTTCCCAAGAGGAATGACCAGTGGCAAGGAAAACAATAACAAATCAGACAAGGAGGTGTGTCTATCAAATTACTATCCTAAATATAACACGATTTATAGCACTTTCAGTCCTCTCGGTTTAACTGTTTCTAATTACTGCTCTCTATTAAACTGGTTTTACTGTCTTAGGAAAACAAGGCTATCACTGCAGTAACAAAGCAAAGTTTGTTTTATGTATATTTATGGTATCTCTAAAGCTCTACATTATTGCGACAAAGCTTTGTGCATCTAAATTCAAAATCAATATAGGTAATATATGTAAATAAATGTGTATCAAAATTACAAGAAATAAAGGCTTGAAATATTGTAATCTGTGTGTAATGAATCTATATGAGTTTCACTTTCTGAACTGACTAAAACAAAGGGAAAAAACAGAACTTTTTCTACAATATCCTGATGCATGCTCAATAATCCAGGTAGAAAAATCTAAAAAAGTTAAATCTGGTCCTCTGGACATTCAAAAAAACAAAACAAAGCAAATCAACAAAAAAATGTAGAAACGTTCCGTCTCTCATCCGAGAGACTTCCTCAGTCTGAGGAGCTGTATTCAGCTCAGTCTTTTAAATAGCACCTTCTCAGAGTGGATCAACCTGAAGAGGGATGAAGATGTTCACATCCTGGACAGAGAGGAACGATGGTTTGAGAGAGGAGTAAAGGAGGCCATCTTTGTGAAAAGAAATCGTCCATCATTAAACAGGGGTGGAGGCCTCCGGGTTCAACTGTCCCCCTCTTACAATGCTGTGATTGCTAGTATCACTCAGCCCTCTGTGAATAGTAAACAGCCATCAGTGTGCTAATGATCCATTGTTAGGCTGATGGTCCTTCTTGAGCATGTGATCAGCTGGTTTTGGTTGTCAGCAGCAAAACTGGTTGATCCACTCTGAGAAGGTGCTATTTAAAAGACTGAGCTGAATACAGCTCCTCAGACTGAGGAAGTCTCTCGGATGAGAGACGGAACGTTTCTACATTTTTTTGTTGATTTGCTTTGTTTTGTTTTTTTGAATGTCCAGAGGACCAGATTTAACTTTTTTAGATTTTTCTACAATAGTCACTTTTTTTAGATGAACCTGAACTATATCTTTTTATACAAACTATGGAGTGTGTTTTGTATTTTTTTTTTGTTATTTTTTTCTTTTGAGTAACATAACTGTGTGTAGCAGGAAACAAGAAACAATGCTTAACACCCCCCCCCCCCCCCTGCCCCTTGACAATTGAAAACAACCTTGCCATGTTCTTTACAATCTATTAAAACGTGTCTGAATCGTGGCAAACAGAAAGGAAAATGTCCTTCAGTGTAAGGGCAGTCATGACAATGTTACGCTTTTAATCCTCACCACTTTTTTCCTTGTTATTTTCTGTATCACTGAGATGCTCTCCACAACCCTCACCATGTTTTTTATACTTGCCCTGGCATGACTATCAGTCTTAGGACATAGATATATCTATATATCTTGACAAAAGATCACATCATGCTAGTGCTGTGTTACTGTGTTACATATTATTGGTACATCTGTGCTAGGTTGATTCCATGACCTTGTCCTGTTCATGGCTGTAGCCTAAAAGTGAGACCAGCATGACCAGTTTTGCATCAAATTCTGACAACCGAGCGGCTTCTTGTCCCATGTGAAGGGAGCCTATGGCACTGCCAAATGAATACATAATACAACTAACTGAAATTTATTCTAGCAAGAGCTCTTAATAAAAGTTTATTTGCATTGATCATTTCTGCCTGACCTAATAACTGCAAATGTAACCACATTTAGGTTGGGGAGTTTTTGTGTAACTGACGCAGTACACTCTTTATTTATTATTTTTTTCAGTTTTGCTTTGAGGCCACAAACACTTCAGACAGTGGTACAGACATTCAGTCATAAATCTTTGTCAAGTATCTAGTTCAACACAAATCTGGGCAAGAAAATGATAAAATGTGGGACCACATGATTTCTGTCTAGCAGCAAAGCAATGCTAATCACTCATGTGCTTGTTTCTATTTCCAGCAAGCATTTTATTTAACATCTTAGTAACATTTTAGAAATATGGCATGAATGTTTTTGATGGCAGCAAAGGAACATATGTACAGCCCATAATATCAATAGCACGTTGCAAAAAGTTTCATTTGACATTGCAAAAAGAACAGGGAGCTACCCCACTGTCCCATAATGGTTCAGGTAAAGCTATTATGAAGTATTTTGGTAGCAGATGATGGGAGCACAAAATAATCGCCTCTGATCAACAAAGCTGAGTTGGGAAAATATATTTGAAATGCAGTAAGAAATATGTTTAGATCCCATTTTCTAAGAAAGTATTTTTAGGAGGACCAATATCTCTTGAATCAGAATGAGTTACTGTTGCTCATTTAGGAAATAATATCACAACTTTATAACTGTCATTGGTAAACTAACTGATTTTATTTATTTATTTTAAGTTTCCTTTCACCATTCTCTCACCTCTATTCCATGTTTATTTGTCTGATATCCTATCATTCCTTGATTCTTCCCTTGAGACTGGTCGCAAGTGTCCCTTTGATGTGATTTGGGCATAAAGTCCGATCATACTAAGTCTGGATGAGGTAAAAATGGATTGTATGAAAAATCAAAACGTGATTTAAGGACCAGTACTGATGCAGTTCTTTAAATGGTGAAGAGATGCATCTGTCATCCAACATACTCCCAAGTCTGATTTTGTTTATCTTCATTTGCCTTCTCCAGAAAAATGACATAAAAACAGTAACCATAGTCAAATACTGCCATGCTAACCTGTTAAGGACAAAAGACAAATGAGGCATGTTTTTAGGCCTCAGGCGTTTCATACCTAAGGCCATGAAGTCCTCGTGGTCCCAGGTTTGCAGCTGGGCGAGCGGGCCGCTGTACAGCAGCAGTCCATCAGCCACGTCTGTGATGAACTCCAGCGACACATGGCTCTCAAAGCAAGGCATCAAAGGAGGAAACCAGGCATAGCCATTGCCATGGAAACTGTGCTTGTTCTGTTGGCATTCAGGTCCCTCAAACTGAGCTGGGCATTGGCACCTTACAGAGAAGAGATTAAAAAAATAGATACTTTTTACGTGTGAAAAGTTTCAGTAGAAGCAATAAATGGATAAATTAGTTTCTAGTGTCACATCCAGAAAATGTCATTATGGAACCTAAAAACATTTTCTTCCTTACACCTTTTGAACCACAGTCTGCTTTTTATTAATTGTATTCTTGTGAGAGTTTTTGCAGTATGTTAGCGCTCAGCATCTTTATGACGAGTTATTTTCTCCTTTCAGGCAGCGCTCCCCTTTCGGCTATCACTCACACTCTGCATGTTTCACAGACGCAGATGTTCTCATTAGTGGCAGAACCACAGGGGGGAATCACTGCATCACTAGGAAACTCCTCTCTTTCTGTATTTTGAGATATTTAAGTCCTCATTTGTACTGTTGCTTCCTGTCAAAACTGCACTTCTCACCTCTTCTCCTCAGGAAGATTTCATGCTCTTATTTTACTCCTCCTTCCAGTCTCTACCCACTTATTGTAACCTTTTACACTGATGGACCTTTTTAACATAAGCATTTCATTTTGCTCATTTTTCAGCATACATCCTCACTGACAGATAAAAAAAAACAACGAGGTAACCAACAGAATGTGGGATATTTTCTGAGATTTGCATCTTTTTAAAATTTTCAAAGATTTTAACATCTAAACACTTCATATTAATGTTTTAAATTGATTTATTCTAGTCTCTGTAGTTTTCAATTAAACCAATTACGCTTTGTTACATAGAGCCATGCATAAAAAACTGAAGCATTTTCAAAACTTTAAATGTTTGCATCAATATGGTGTAAAACGTAAAACTGATCTCCAAAAGAAAAACACCCTAAATTTTACGAGAGTACAATTTATTTGTTTATTGGCTGTCCCCTTCTTCATGGGCACAGTGAGCAAACTCATATTAAGATTTGGTGGTTGTTTTACGCTGCATGCCCTCACAGACGCAACCATCGACCACCAAGCTACCACAGCTAACATGTGAGAAGCAGAGGGAAGCTATGGGTGCCTGAAGGTAAAGAATAAAATTAAATGAAGCACAAAAAACATAAAAGTTATTTTGTAAACATGATTTTAAAATAATAATAAAGAAATAAAAATGAGTAGAATACATTTGGTTGAACTATAAAAGTTGCCTGCATAGAAAACACGATCCAATAGGTGAAATATAGTGGTGATAAAATTACAATTTGTTTGTTTTGCTGCATATATGATTGCATAAACTGATATCATGGAAGGCAAATATAATTTTAAACTATGATAAGTAATCATTAAGGCCATATGCGGACTAAATTAAGAGAAAGTGGCTCTAAAAAATTTCTATTTTTGCACGTCTTGTCAAAACATTGTTTAAAATGAGTCAAAGGTAAATAGGTTGGTTACAACATGACTGACACAAAAATTACATCATAAAAAAGGTTAACGTGAAAAACTCCTACAGACATCTCAAATATGAATGAAGCAAAATGTAAATTTGAAGAGTTTGCTCAGGAAAATAAGAAATACATTTTTAATTAGAGTCCTGACACATGGCCAGTATTTCAGGCAGATAAATCTAAATGTCCTCTGGACAGATTCTTCTTTTTTGAAAAATGGCCAAAAGTCGAAGTGTTTCAACAAACAAGAATCCACCCAGATGGCCTGCATCAACCTTCTTAGATATTTATTTAGGTTTTGTCTGCATAGGAATTATAATTTTTATTTTATCCTAAACAATATTTTTTCATTGTTTCAAAAAATATTTTTGGGAATACAGTGATGTTCCCAGATGTGTTTTCTTTACCCTCACGTACACTATGAAAATGACTCAATATGTTGTAGTTCCCATTACCAGGCCTGTAGGTGTCACTGTAACTATGCCATGAAAAAATAAAAAAATTTAAATAAAAAATAAAAACACCAAAAACAGGAAACAAGCTGTGGAGCACGCACATAAAGCTTACACTTCAAATATAATGTAAATATACAAATCATTGGCTGGAACATGGTGTACACAACATTTTTGTGTGTGCATGAGGCCCCTCAGTTTTAGGAGCCAACGTGTGGAAAATAAATAAATAAAAAAGTTACAGGATTGCAACCGGTTTTCCATTCAACCATTCTCAACTATTCTTTAACATTTTATTTGTACCTGGTATATGGACAGTTTAAGACAAAAGGCACAATAGGATTGTACTTTGAAAATAGATCCTTCCTAGTTGGTAAGTGTATGAGAATTAATCTTCCTTTCAAGTATTTTATATTATTTTGCTGACTGCTAATCTGATTGTGGTTTGCTGTGAATGCTACTATGAATGTTCAAGTTATGCAGCTTCTCTTCAAATGTTACCAAATTTAATTTGTGTCAGCTATGTTTAACATAACAGAGAATAAACAAAACTTTAAACTTGTAAAAATGCAAAAAAATTACAAAATAAAATTAGCGTTAACTTAAAACCATGTTTCATTATTTTATTTTGTTTTTTTCCCACAAAACTCTGTTGAAACTGTACCACCACTTAGAATAAACTATGTTTTTGTGATTATTTTATTTTTGATTGATTTGGAAAAGAACACTGAAGAAAATAAACATTGTGTAATGCACATCTAATCAGTGATTACTCCTAAACTACATTTCAAATCATTATGAAAAAGTGTTTTATTTTTATTGTTATTTATAGTGAGGACTAGCATCGCGGGCAGCACGGTGGCACAACTGGTAGAGCTGCTGCCTCTCAGCAAAACCTTGATGCGGGGGCCCTTCTAGGTGGAGTTTGCATGTTCTCTCCGTGCATGTGTGGGTTTTCTCCGGGTACTCCGGTTTCCTCCCACAGACCAAAAACATGCATGTTAGGCTGATTGGTAACTCTAAATTGTCTCTAGGTGTGAGTGAGAGAGTGAATGGTTGTTTGCCTCGTTTGTCTCTATGTGTCCCTGTGATGGACTTGCGACCAGTCCAGAGTGTACCCCGCCCCTCACACAGTGATTGCTGGACATGGGCACTGGCGACCCCTGTGACCCAAAATGGAAGAAGCGGGTAAAAGATAATGGATGGATGGACTAGCATTGCATAAGTGATTTGTTTTTCCATCTGCTGTTTGTTTAATTCAGCTCTTAAAGTTGTACTTTTGAGTGAAATATAGAGACAGTAGCTAAAACATTCCTGCCTGTATTTGCATATTCGTAATGTCACTAATTCTCTATGCACAATCTGAGACAGTTTTTTCAGTTGAAACCCTTCAATCCTCTTATGGCAGATTTGTTTTGCTCATTCTTGGTATGCTGGGAATTAGGTTCAACAATGGGCCCGGCGTTGTAATCCCACCCCTCCCCTCAACTCACTCTCTTCTGAAATCTCATTAATCCCAGTGCATTGATTATCTGCATGTTCTTGCTTCAATCATGGGCTGTAATCTGTTTGTGTTTGTTTGTGTTGGGGTGTGGTCATATCTGAAAGCCAGTGAAGCAGAAAACTATCCTCCAGCAATTTTATCTTCTTTTAACACTTATCTGTATATGTTCTTTCACCTCCTCACTTCTCAATGCTGGCACTGTTTTCCTTTTCCAGATTTCTTTCCTCCCATTTTCCTTCTTATCACACACTTTAATCAGTTATAGTATTTATTTTTCATCTTTACTCTGCAAAAACATTTTCTATCTATATTTTGTCTTCTCCTGTTCAGATTCTTGCTATCCCCTACTTTCATATTTCTGTTTCCCCTCTGTCTTCTTCATCGCTTTCCAATCACAATTGTCTGCTCTTTATAAAATGTCTTATTTTATTTTTTCTCAGTTCATCTTCATTTTCTCTGTTTCTGACATCCTGTATTTTATGTGCTTTCCTTTTCTGAATCTAGAGAATCACGCAGCAGATGTTGCAGGGCTCAGACACTGTAGCATGATTGAAAATGTGACAATCATAGAGCAGCTGTGACCCTGGCAACCTTACCTGCTTTGCCTTGTTCTCCCACTGACATCTGTTTGGATGATACTTCATCAAGAATATTTTCCCACATTTAATTTGAGGCTTGCATTTTACATTTAATAGTTGCAGCGTGGAACGTTTTAGAAACAGCAATTAAAGAAGATTTTTTAAATCACGCCGTTTTGTATTTTGGAACAACTGCAAACAAATCGTTATTTCAAATGTTCATATTTATTTCATGTCCTTGGTTTTGCCTCTTGTATTGAAAATCCATGTCAATACATTGTTCTTTTGGAAAACATAAATCCATCCATGTCCAAAATATGTAATCGCATGACAAAAGTGGGGGGAAAAAATGCTTTGCAACTTCATATTGTTTTGCAGAGGCTGCCTTCTTCCTGTGAACAGGTGGACCTGAAACAAGAGGGCAATAAATGTGGTGGTTTTTTTTTGTTTTTTTTTCTACTTTAGCATTCAGGGAGCAGTTGTTTTGTACTTGTTCTGCTTGGGAATGAGGGCATATCAGGACAACTCCTCAATATATGAGAAGAGAAATTGGCCCAATCTTAGCATCTTGAAAAAAATACTACATTTTTAAAGTCTTCACATCAGTTATGTTGCCATTAGTTGTGTATACATGCTTTCTCCCCCAGTGTTGAATACCCGAAAAGAGGTGATGTGACCACAAATCAGATCTTAACAAAACAAACACAGCTAGATGTAGCTGCATATTTGTTTTAAAGCAAACAACAACACCAAAAAACAACAAAAAATATTTTTTGAAGGTGTCCAACACACAGTCCACTTTGCTTTAAAACTACTAGTACAGATTATAAGCAAAGAAAGAAAAAGGAACATTCTAAAAGTTGCATAATTGTGTATGTAGGTGTGATTTTGCATGTGTGTGCATGCATGAGGGTAATTCTGGGATTTTGTCTAACATGGATCCAGTGAGTCATCCTGCTCAGGTCCAACACTGAGCTACAGAACAGGCTCACCTTGCCAGCCAGATTCAAATCCTGCCCTTTTCACTTGCTGCTTCTAATTAAATGAAGCTGAAGGCTAACATTACCTTCAAGTCACAGCAAGAAAG